GTAAGGACACATTTACAGTCAGTCAGTAAGGATACATGTACAGTCAGGATACATGTACAGTCAGTAAGGATATATGTACAGTCATTCTAAGGATATATGTAGTCAGTAAGGATACATGTACAGTGAGTAAGGATACATGTAGTCAGTAAGGATACATGTACAGTCAGTCAGTAAGGATACATGTACAGTCAGTCAGTAAGGATACATGTACAATCAGTCAGTAAGGATATATGTACAGTCAGTCAGTAAGGATACATGTACAATCAGTCAGTAAGGATATATGTACAGTCAGGATACATGTACAGTCAGTCAGTAAAGATACATGTACAGACAGTAAGGAGACATGTACGAGTATCTACAAGCCCCTCCAAAGTCGTCCCCAACATGCTGGCAAGTCCCCGAAGCCACAGGTGGCCTGTGATTCTCACAAATCGCTTCCATCTTACGGTTTAGCCTGTAAATCAGCTGATTTTGAGTACTTGAAGCACAAACCAAACTTCCACACAGACTTAGTTTTGCCGTGGCCGATAATGCTGCTGCTGTCTTCCTTAATAACCGATAACATAGGAATCTGCTGGTGCCAAAAATCAGAAACCTGCTATCATGGTTCTTATTATATGAACGTATTGAGTGTCCTTCTGAGACAAAATGGAAAGACACATCAGCTCCCAGACTCCACCATGGATCCATGACGTATCCTGCTGCGTGAGTCTCAACGGGGCGTGGGGGCTCTCCAGGACCCTGTCGCTTTGTTGAAAAGATTTTACTGATTGCATTGAAAGTCCAGCTGAGCAGATCCATGACAGTAGTTTTAGTTTCAGAAGATGTGTAACAGGAGCTCCGATACACAGAGAGCAAAAAAATAAAACAGGAGGAGGACGGGGGAGGGAGAGAAGGCAGCCGCATTGCACGAGAGCAGATTATAGTTGTTATCCTGTGACATGCATATCTTACAAATACAAGTGGAATTAAATGTCTTAATATTTGAAAAAAAACCTCATTAGACACATGTTACACATTTTGTCATATAACCAGCAATTTTTTTTCAACATGGTGCAGCCAAAGTGAAACAGGAAGTGACATCAAAGAGGGACTCCCTAAATGCAGCCACAAACCAAAGTGGAAGTTGGAACCTCATTTATTTTTCAAGTTATCATGCTCACAAGAGGGATGGTATTTTCACATCCCGTGCTGTTTCCTATGTTAGTTTGAACTATTAGATCAAAATGTCTGAAACTCTACAGGATGGATATTCACCTAAACTGCTCAGGGGCCAGTTTCTGAGAGCAGCAGCTCAGGGGCCGGACATCCAGCAATTAAAGTCATTCTGTAAATAAATCATCTGTTACCTTTAAAATGTGTTTGTTTTATTACATTGAATCATTAATGCAATAAACAGAACCCAACCCCCCCCCCCCCCCTTTTTATGAACTCATTGGGCCGGACTGAAGTCACCCGCGGGCCGAAAATGGCCCACGGGCCACCAGTTGAATAGCCCTGCTCTAATGACTGTACTGACTGCTGCAGCTAAAACACTGACTAACCATAATTAACTCAAACTAACAAAGTCAACTAATCCAGTTTGATTGTAAATGAAGGAAATAGTGTGTGTGTGTGTGTGTGCACGTGTGTGTGCACTCACAGCTTTAGCGAACACTCCCATGAGTTCAGGGAACTGGTGTGTGAGCAGGGCCAGCATGGCGGTGAAGGAGCAGAGGCCGGCGGTGAAGAGGATGAAGAAGGGCAGCTCCTTCTTGGGGTAGACCGACACCTCGTGAAACACTGCTTCCACGTGGGACAGACAAACGGCACAATGTTAGCTCGGAGCGCCACGGCGCTCCTCAGGGCGCTCCTCAGGGCGCTCCTCAGGGCGCTTCTCAGGGCGCTTTCAGCCACAACAATAAACTGTCGTCACATTCAAACCGAAACTCCAACGGCAGGCTGCTCCTCTGATTAACATGCTTCTGTTTCAACGACAAACGAGCAGTTGTCCTCGTCTCTGAGGGGTTGAACAGTGAATGTTGTTTTCAAGATGAGTGTTTTTCTGGACTGGAGCTGAACAGGGAGTGAAGTAAACCTAAATGTTTTTGGTGAAAGATATTCCAGTTGTAAGAGTTACACAGAACAGAGGGAGGTTTTTATCACCACCAGGAGCAGTGGTGGAGCCAAGGGGTGGCCAGTGGTGGCCTTAGTGCTGTAGATTAATCTTGGGCCACCCCATCAGTTGAAGAAGCCGTACAGGTGAGCAATATAAAAACTAGGAAGTGTAGTTTCCTCAAATGACAGGGGTGGTTGGTTTGAATATATAATATGTGTGTGGTGGTGGCCATCTTGGATGTTCATGTGGCAACCCCAACATTAAAAAGGAACCTTTCTTACACCTAGATGTAGTCACACATCAAAATGGAAGTCGGTACCTGACTTATTGTTCAAGTCATCGTGCTCACAGGATGGACAGACTGATGGACAAAGGACAGTCCAGTTCCCCCTCTTCACTTCATGACGGGGGACAAAATGCCTGCTGTGAATATTTAATCCCAGCTGTATGTAAATAAGATGAAACTAGTTTGACTCACTTCCTGCATGTTGCAATAAACCAGTCAGTGATTTTACATTAATGTTCAAAATCCAAACTGTAATTTTTCTTCCCATAGAAAGTGCTTTTGTCACTTGTGACATGAATAAATAACTGTAAAGAAGTCGTACGCTACTTTGGTTAAAACAGACCATGATGCATTGCTGCGTGAGCGACACGACCAGCAAGCTAATGGAGGCTAATGCTAACGTCTGCAGCTCAGGACTTTGAAAAATGCTCTTAATGATCAGGACCAGCGGTCCACGTGCGTGCACGTGTCAGAACGTCTCTTACTGGGTAGCAGCTCTCTGTCGGCCGTCTCTGTGCAGATGGGGTAGGGGTAAAACAGGTGTCCCTTCTCCAGAGGATACGGGATCATTCTGAACGCTGGAAAACACACGGAGACAACGAACAACTCACTTTTCATCTTCGACTCAAACGGATCACGTGCTGCCTGGAAACCACATGTTTACATACACACTATCAAATGTGTTTCACCTCAGTGACTTTAAATCAAAGTCAACCTTTCTTGTTTTAGGTCAGTCAGGGTTCACACAATTTATTTTATTTGTTAAATGATAAAAAACGAAAGAGCCACAGGTTTGTATTCACTACAATTACTGTGTCTTTATTCAGTTCAGGAAAACATCAGTGTTAACTGGAGGAACATCTCAGACACACTGCTTCATGTGTGGCATCAGAATAAATCAGCCAAGATAACAGAACCATCCACTACTCTGGTCCATCCCTAGGTCCAAAAGGTCCAGAAGTCTGAAGGTTCATGCGTTCTTCATGAGAACGTCCTGCCATGGTACTGCTCAGGTAGGAGACGAGTTCTGTGTTCCTGAGATGAACGTGTTTTGGTGCTTGCATCAACCCAAAGCAAAGCCAGAAGAGCTGCTGAAGAAGCTGCTGAAGAAGCTGCTGAAGAAGCTGCTGAAGCTGGTCAGAGTCGTTCTCAACAGAAAAACAAGTCCTGGACCAACATGGACTGAAAGGATACTCGGAGAGGATGGACGCTTTAGTCCCAAAGCAACACAAAAAAGACAGACTAGTTTTTAAATGCACACAGGGACAAAGACAGTAATGTTTGGACACGTCCTCTGGTCTGATGGACTAAACATGGACCGTAATGTTTGGACACGTCCTCTGGTCTGATGGACTAAACTTGGACCGTAATGTTTGGACACGTCCTCTGGTCTGATGGACTAAACATGGACCGTAATGTTTGGACACGTCCTCTGGTCTGATGGACTAAACTTGGACTGTAATGTTTGGACACGTCCTCTGGTCTGATAGACTAAACTTGGACCGTAATGTTTGGACACGTCCTCTGGTCTGATGGGACTAAACTTGGACCGTAATGTTTGGACACGTCCTCTGGTCTGATGGACTAAACATGGACCGTAATGTTTGGACACGCCCTCTGGTCTGATAGACTAAACTTGGACCGTAATGTTTGGACACGTCCTCTGGTCTGATGGGACTAAACTTGGACCGTAATGTTTGGACACGTCCTCTGGTCTGATGGACTAAACTTGGACCGTAATGTTTGGACACGTCCTCTGGTCTGATGGACTAAACTTGGACTGTTTGGTCAAAAAGATCGTTACATTCAGAGGAAAAAGCGGAGATGCTTGTTGGCTTTAGAACACCATTCCTACTGTGAAGCACGGTGGTGGCAGCATCATGCTGTGGGCCCGTTTGGCTGCAGGTGCTCTTCACAAAATAAATGGCATCATGAGGAAAGAACATTCTCTGGAAATATTGAAGCAATATCTCTAAACATCAACCAGGAGGATAAAGCTTTGGACACGAATGGGTCTTCAAACAGACAGTGTCTCTCAGCATTCAGCCAGATTAGTTACAAAATGGCTGAAGGACACAAGAAGTCAAAGTTTAGGAGTCACAAAGTCCTGATCTCAGAGCTGTAGAGCATCTGTAGCAGAGCTGAACATGAGGTCTACAAACCTGACTGAGTTCTGTCAGGAGCAACGGGACTAAAGTCCAACAAACCAACAAGAAGTTGGTGAAAAGAAACTCCAAACATCTGACCCAAGTCACAAAGTTTAAAGACAAAGCTGCCAAACATTAAGTAAATGTATGTAAACTTGTGACTTCAAAGAACGTAATAATAATTTACAATAAAACATCCTTAAAGTAACAATTTGTGAATCCTAACTGAACTAAAGAGGAAAGGTTAACAGCAAGACAAAAAAACAGCATTTTTTACAGCGCATGGAAAACATCTGGTTTCAACTGCATTTGCCACCGACGTGTGTGTGTGTGTGTGCGCGCGCACGTGTGTGTGTGTACTCACTGCCCTCCCAGGTGCAGTGCAGCAGGTTGAGTGCTCCCTCCACCCTCTTCCAGTGCTGCAGGTGAAAGAAGGCGTAGGCGATGGCTTCGCTGTCACCTCTCTTCAGAATGTGTTCTGGAGGAAGAATCAGACTCTTCATCTCTAGCAGGTACTGAGGAAGAAGAGGAGATCAACAAAGAGCTTCTGTTTAGCGACACTGGCACTAAAGTCACGTGCAGATTTCTTTGATGTTCCATGACTTGCTCTTTTTTACTCATTTTATAAATCAAGAAGCATGAAGAAAACAACATGGGTGTTAAATACCAGCTGAAATTCAGCTTCTTATGTTTCATTTTGATTCCACTCTACAGCTACGTTCTTGAGTACTCTACAGCAGAATAAGAAAACTGATTCAGCAGCATAAACACAAACAACAAACTGAGCACAGGGATGCCTCAAGGATGTGTACTCAGTCCTTTGCTCTTCATTCTGTTGTTACATGACTATTCTGTCAAATTCAGCTCAAAAGCACAAAGTTTGCTGATGATACAGCAGCAGCAGAACTCATGGGCACTAATGATAAAATATCTAACTGAACTGAGGTGGAAAAGTTGCTGAGATCATGTGAAGACAACAAACCATCTCTTGACGTGAACCAGCAGCATGCCAATGTCCCCGTTACTGAAGGATTTGAACAGTGAATGTTTATAGTTCTGCAGATGAGTGTTTTTCTGGACTGGAGTTGAACAGAGAATACAAGTGAACCTTAATTTTTGGTGCAAGATAGCAGGACTTCGCTGTGCCAAAGCACTGATGCATTCAATGTGTGTCTGACAGCTCCCTTGTGTTGTTTACTTTAATGAATTAACTCACTTTAACAATCCTCTTTGTGATGAACTACTTTTATAAACTAACTACAAAAGTTGTTGTGTGCCATCATCAATATTCTCTCTGTAATAAAGGTGTGTGAAATGTGTGAGAGAGTCACGTCCCAGAGACAGTGTGAGTGTTGCAAAGCATGCTGGGTAGGAATTATGTGTGTGATGTTTCTGACTGTTTACGATGTTTCTGACTGTTTACGATACGTTTCTGACTGTTTACGATGTTTTGACTGTTCACAATGTTTCTGACTGTTTATGGTGTTTCTGACTGTTTACGATGTTTCTGATTGTTTACGATGGGCTTCTGACTGTTACAATGTTTTTGACTGTTCACAATGTTTCTGACTGTTTATGGTGTTTCTGACTGTTTACGATGTTTTTGACTGTTCACAATGTTTCTGACTGTTTACGATGTTTCTGACAGTTTACAATGTTTCTGACTGTTTACGGTGTTTTTGACTGTTCACAAGGTTTCTGACTGTTTATGGTGTTTCTGACAGTTTACGATGTGTTTCTGACTATTTACGATGTTTCTGGGTGTGACAATGTGTTCTTCATGTTATCTTCCTGTTCTGGTTTGGCTTCATTTCTGTTAAAGTCTGTTAATGTCTGGAAACTGACACCACGAGTCAGAGACTGCTTGAGATGGACACTAGGAGGGTGGTGACACCACCAGGTGACACTTAAGATTTGCTTAGCTGCATAGCTCTGTATAAATTACCATTCTCCTGGATGCTTTTGGTGCAGAGAACTGTTTTTTTTAATTGTTTTTATAGAGGACTTGAACTTATCGTATTTAAATTTAGAAGAAGCTAATTCCACTAATGAATTTCAAAATGAGCAAAAACGCAAATCTGCTAAATGGAAAGCTAGTTTCACTTTTAGCAGAACCGTGCCCACCGCTGGTAGTCAGGTTCTGCCTCAAGGGAAAGAGTCCAAGTACCTCGAGGTTTTGTTCATAAGTGACAGAAGAATGGAGGAGACTGACAAATGGATCTGTGCAGCATCAGCAATACTGTGGACTCTGTGCTGGTCCATTGTGGTGAAGAGAGAGCTGAGCTGTAAGACAAAGATCTCTGTTTACTGGTCAGTCTACGTTCCTCCCCCCACCTCTGGTCATGAACTCTGGGTAGAGACTGAAAGAATGAGATCGTGGATCTCCAGGAAGTTGAAATGAGTTTCCTCTGCAGGAGCTGGACTCTCCCTCAGAGACAGGGTGAGAAGTTCAGTTATCAGGAGAGACTCAGAGTAGAACCACTGCTCCTCCACATCCAGAGGAGCCAGTTGAGGTGGTTCAGGCATCTGGTGAGGATGCTTCCTGGGTGCCTACCAAGGGAGGTGTTCCAGGCATGTCCAACTGAGAAGAGACCCCGGAAAGACCCAGGACATACTGGAGAGACTATGTCCCTCACCTGGTCTGTGAACGCCTGGGAGTCCTCCCAGAAGAGCTGGAAGAGGCTGTGGAAAGAGATGTCTGGACCTCCCTGCTGAAGATGCTGCCCCAAGACCTGAGTCCAGAACAAGAGGAAGATGATGGATGGATGGATGGATGGATGGGAGTTACATGGTGTAGGAGAACAGAGGGAGTTTGGTTGTTGTTTTTTTTTGTCTCCGGCAGAGTGACAGATCCTGGCAAGTGAAGGGAGCACTTTATACCACCAGGTGTGTATATATATATATATATATATATATATATATATATGTGTGTGTGTGTGTATGGTGGCAGCCATCTTGGATTTTGACGTGGCAACTCTGTTTTCAAAATAAATCTTTCTTGGATGATGATGCCTAGATGCAGTCACACTCCAAAATGGAAGGTGACATGTTGCTTCTTTTGCTCTCGTGCTCACAACATGCACAGACGAACAGACGAAAGGCATTTCCAGTTCCCCCTCTTTGTTCAGCATAATGCGGTACAACAAAACTAACGAGGTAACTGTAGATTTTAGAAAAACGTTTTACTGCTACCCTGACGCATGTTCAATAATCCAGGTAGTAAAATCTAAACAAGTTAAGTCAGGTCCTCTGGATGAGTACAAACTGCAGCAACGTTTCATCTTTCTTCCAAAAGACTTCGTCAGTCTGAGGAGCTGCAACAAACTCAGTTTTGGGTGGTTTTCACGCCTGATAGTCCGGTAGACTCGGTTCTACTGGGGACCAAAGTTCAGAACATTAGTTTACATTTCAGCTGGTGGTTCATTCACACTGCACTGAGTCGAGTCAACCTGTTCCCCCGCTCGCCTGTGGGGGCGCTGCACCAAGACCTACTGAAGGAAACGACACAAAAACCTCTGAAGACACGTCTTCTTCTGGAAATATAAACAAAAACGGAGTGGCGTCATATTTTAGTGGTTTTAGGAGTTCTATTTTGTCATTTCTCAACAATGGACTCAGCATGAGAGGAAGCTGAGGCAGAACATCATGGAGAATGTCATCTGGACTTCGTTTTTTTGTTAAAAAGAAACGTTTCGCCCCTCATCCAAGAGGCTTCGTCAGTCTGAGGCCTAGCCATCTGGTATTACCCAGAAGCCACCTTGACTCTTGTGTTTCAAGCCTGCCTCAGATACCCCTGAAGTCTGGCCTTTTCACTAATGAAGTTAGTAGCAGTTTTGTGTTTTTGAAACCATTAGTGAAAAGGCCAGACTTCAGGGGTATCTGAGGCAGGCTTGAAACACAAGAGTCAGGGTGGCTTCTGGGTAATACCAGATGGCTAGGCCTCAGACTGACGAAGCCTCTTGGATGAGGGGCGAAACGTTTCTTTTTAACAAAAAAACGAAGTCCAGATGACATGATTCAACCTTTTTTGTTGTTATATACCTGGATGACTGAGAAAACAAACTTTGTGATCATGGAGAATGTTGTTCTTCACACAAGACGGCTGACGGCTCCATATGAGGTGAGAGAAATGTGTGTTTGTTTTTGTTGTATTTACCCAGAATGCCCTGCACTGTAGTCCACTTCCTGCTTTTGGAGCGGTCTCCAGTCCGCTTGCATTCACACTTTATTTGAACCGCACCAGTTTACTTCAACCGGACCGAGATCTAGGTATTTAGACGGACCAGAGTTCACTTTTTTGGTCCACATCAGAGTTCGATTGTGCATTCACACCTCCCCAAATCAACCGGACTTTCTAGGCAAACGGACTAGAGTTGGATTAAAGTTGGATTAAAGTGGACTGGTGTGACTGCACCCTTAAGTGTGTGAGAATTTCCACCTCCGTCACTCCAAACTTTACTGACAGATTCCTGATCAGCTGCGTCCCTTCTTAGTTTGTCAGTTACAAGATGGTCCGAGAGTCGTCAGAGCTTCACTTCCCTCCGAGACGTTTAAGGAGTGACGTGAGAAAAAGCTCAGAGGTTTTCCAAAGATCCCAGTCACTCTCCTAACAAGCTGCTGAACGGTTCTGTCCCCGGTCCGTAAGTCAGAGGAACTCTCTACACACCCCAGAACAAAACAACACTTGTTTCATTTCATTACACACTGAAATATAAATGACATGGAAAAACAAAAGACTTCATCTTTGAACTCCACCGGCCAATCACAAAGAGCCGTTTGTCTTCAGCTAGAACCACACATCCAGTCGCTGACTGTTGGACCACCACAGCTGCATGACCTGACACGTCATTAACAACTGAACGCTTGTGAAAAGCATCGACCACCCTTACGGTACACTCTGTGATGTGACTGTACAGCGGTGCAGAGCACCATCAGTGTGTCAAAACAAAAATGAATTAGTTATAAATGCATGACTTTATCATATAATGTGTGATCAAAGGATTTATTCATAACGACTTTCACAGGGTCGACTTTTCACCGAAGGAGCGCTGAAGGGAAGTGACAGAGTAGCGTTTGAAACGTCTCTGACAAATTAAAAATTAAATAATTCCATCGATGTTTATGATTTGTCAGCATTGATCGAGTGTACTGACATAAACAGAAAACCTTCGGAGCGTTGTGTGTGTGTGCTGAGTCCATGAACGCTCACTTTAGGGACATGAGGGTTGAACTCCACCGCTCTGTGAATGGCTTCTACTGCATTCATCTCCGCCGTGCTCAGGCCCCGCCTGGACGCTGCCTCTGGAGAGAACCTACACACACACACACACACACACATCCTTATTAGGACACCGTACTAATTCATTTCTGCAGTCTAACCCTGACCATTACCGTTGTATACCTAACCCCACCCTAAACTCCTACCACCTGACCTGAAACGACCTTCCACAGTATCAGAACTGGTGTAACAGGCCGTAGTACACCCCCAGTCAACTGTACCTGCGGTAAAGAGGCTAGATTATTCTCCTGGTATACTATGGCTTAGGGCAGACTATACTCTGAGGTAGAAATTGAATTATTCATACCACTCAGGCCAGATTATATCCTCTCTCAGGCCAGATTATATCCTCTCTAAGGCCAGATTATATCCTCTCTCAGGCCAGATTATATC